AAGGGGAAACTTTCGCTGGCTTGCATTTTGATGCGGTGTTTGGAGACACTGTTATCCGGTTATGAAGTTAGATTCTGTGGAGCCCTGCGATGGTCATCTAACGGTCGAAAGAGCGGTTTCTTCGTCTCTCCAGCATATTTTTTCCAGCCTCCCTGACATTCTATCAGTCGCACCGTCCTCTTGACATATTTTGCTGTCATTACAGTGGGTGCAGCCTCTTCGACCTCATTTTTCTTAATATGTCCTGGAGTACTCTAGTAGCCGTTTGAGATATGATGGTGGACGGAATATGAACCGTACGAGGAGCGGTGAGCTCTCAACTGTTAGGTTGTTGCATAATTTCTTTTCCCTCACTTTTCTGTAAATATCTCAATAGCGAACCAGCCTGAAGATTAGAGGTACACTCGAGATCCCTGAGATCGGGTAGGCGTGGCCGCATGTTTCAACTTACCCTTAAGGCGTCTACGCTTCTGATGCGATATTTTCATCTCGACACAATCGTTGTCGTTTCTCTGTCCAATACAGAACTAGATGACAGTTGTCCCAGACTGGAATATTCCACCAGTAACCAGCTCCTTACAGTTTTCGAATGCTCCGCCTACCCGATCTCAGGGATTTTGAGTATATGCACTACCACCATCTGTCGTGACTTCCGCCACGACCTCAGTAAGGTTGCTCCACGGTAAAGCTGGGAGGAGGCCGCGCCGCAGCATGCGTTCAAAGCGCCCTCGGGCAGAACATTCTAGCATACTCTGTCCATCTGTGCTCTAGCCGCGCGCCAACCTTGCTCCGTCAGTGTCATCGCTACGGTCGCCGTGGCCGGTCGGGCCACAGCCCTTAACCGCCTCACCACGATCGCATGTCACTCACGAAGCCTTTTACTGCCGACGCCTTATCTATCTATTCCATCATGCTTGGCGGACCAGCTACCGGATATATGTTTCCTAATTATATATCTTAACTACGACTGTCAATATCCATCACGCACAGGTTAGCCCTCTTTATCTCTCTTAGCTTAGTAGTCCAGGAGTTCCTCCAATAGCAATTCATGTAGTTTCGTAGTTTGATTCACTTACTTTCCGTTTCCACCTTGCTTAGTATTTGGTTAACCATAGTTTTATCATTTGCTTTGCTTATTGCTTTTTGCACAATTTATTCACCATTGCTTAGACTTGCTAGTTAGATGCACATTTATTAATGTAGTTCAATCATTGCACATTTATTGCTTCATTTATTGAAGTATTAGACTAGTAAATCAGTATCCCCTTAACCTGTAGCTCACAGTCGCACGCTAAGTATATCCACGTCGTCGCTAACCATCTGTCAGTAATTAGGTCTCGATTAGTTCGCCGTCGTCTGTCATCTCGGACTCAGTCAATCGATACGCCGTCAAGTCTTGCGCCAGTCAATCGATAAAGGACCGCGTCGCAGACGCACGCGCCTAATAGGCTAGGGGAAGTCTAGGCCCTCGTCAGTTAGTAGCCGCGTGTCAGCAGGCCCAAGGACGTCTCGAGCATTCTCAGCGCACGTCTTCTTTTCTTCCCCTCAGGGGTGCACCGGGCACCGATGCATACACGCCGACGAGCGAAATGAGAGTCACGACACCATCCACTACTCGACGCCAACGCTCAGGCAGCTTGTCGATTCCATCGTCCCAGAAGGACGGGGGCTGGGACCCGAAGAAGGCCACAATGCCGCACAACCACTGTGACATGGTTTTGCACTGGTAATTGTGCGGCATTGTAGCCTGCAAATGCAGGATGGGTGAGTGATAGCTAGTGTGGTGAAGAGTATCATGTACACATCTGATGGCGAAATACCAATAGTCATACAAACGAAATGCGGAAGGATCAAAACAGGGGAAAAGCTTATGCAACAACCTAATACACTGTTGGCGTACCGTACTCTCATTGAGATATGGCATTACCGAGGAAATCATACCTGGTATGGATTAGGGTCTACATGCGTGAGTTTGAGTGTTACGTAATTCTCCTCCGGAATCCGTCCACCATTGTACCTACTCGCTCCGACCATTGCGTGCATGTTCTTTCTTTTTTCTTATCAAACTAACTGCGAACTACGTTCGATCTCATATATGATGTGTGCTAACTTCTGGCGCGTAGCAATACATTTGAACTGCTGGTTTCTTATACCAGTACAGTTGTTTGGTTTCGTTTCAAGTCTTACTTTTGTATTTAGACGCGATCCAAGCCCGTCTGAGTACTCTATGCTCTTCTTTCTTTGTTGGGTAGAACCAGCGAGCTGGTCCCAGGTTCATTTTGTAGCGAAACTCGGAATGGTCTTTCTTCATATTAGACTGCAGTTTGTGGCGTGCACTACAAACGGAAGAGCGCCGACTTTATCTTGCAGGTCTTTCCTTCAGGCTCACAACCCAACCACCAATTCCATTCCTCCCACGACAGCCAGAATCTCCTTCACAGAAATGTCCGCAGACACTTGATCAGAACAGTACCAGTGGGAACACTCTAAGCTGACAGTTTTCAGCCTATCAAGATACTCTCGAAAGAATTTGCTGCTAACAAAAAATATAAGCCTCCTGAATATACTACAGAAGCGTATGACAAGAATGAGCCCAAAAACAGGTACATTGACATTTCTATTTCGCAGAGACCCTCATTTGCCCATCTTTCTTTCTGGGATGACTTCACAAACAAACAAATCAAATAGAACAAATAAACAATAACTTTTGCAGGTCCCAAGCAACTCGCACTTAAGAAGCTTGAGCGTCATTCTGCTTCCGTCCCCTCCATTTAGGCGTTCCTCTGCATCCAGTAGAGGATCCGAATGTCCTCTTTCACTCGACCCTTCTCAATATCCACAAGGCCTCAGACGCGTCTATGCACAATACACCGATACAATAGAAACTTCATATTTGAGTACAGTAACCACTACAATAAGGCACAACGAGATCACGATAACAGGAATACACGTCAGGAAAGCTATTGCAATGTGAAACAGGAAAACGATAGATGAGTGCTGCTGCCGGTCGGCTTCGTCACCGCTTCCTCCTCTCCCCGCTTGGCTCGTGCTTGCGCGCTCCGCCCATCGAACGGTCGTCGACAGTCTTAGTCATCTGGAAATACATTACACTAGGCTACCTGATACGGTATAAGAGAAGAGTATACTAGAGTGACACTAATTGGTCTGGTAAAGAAGCTTTAACCTAAGGGGTTTTTTGCCTGCCCTTACAATGGTGAGCGTCCTGGGGTGGTGAGCGGCGGTGATGGAAGAATGATTCGGTGACTCATGAGCCTAGGGCCCACTTCTGGGCTCCGAAGTGGGCTTTTTTCTCCGCCAGTGACGGTTTTCGTGGTGGGGCGTTGTATACCGAACTTCGTGTTGGAGCGCAGTTTTGTCTCCTTGCGTCCGCGCCTTCATAATTGATCGCGTAACCGCGATATTCCCCGGCGCACGAAAGAAGGATCCCGGCGCGTATGAAATGATTCTCCGGCTCATGCGAAAGGCTAAAGGGTTCTCCGGCGCACAAATAGACTGAAGGATCCTCTGGCACGTACGAAGGCTAAAGGAATGTCCAGCGTATATAAAACGTGAAAGGATTCTCTGGCGCATATAAATAGAGAGAGAGTCAACGTAATTTTGATTGACTCGCTTATACTATTTTTTAATGTGACAATTACTGTTGTCGTTTCTTGAGCGCAATTTAGAAAAATCTTCTTTTTCTGTAGCCATATTAACTATAACGGTTGCTGTCATCGCTTTCTGAGCGTGAATCATTGGGTCTAACCCCGATGGCGATTAGCTCGCTGAGCTTTTTCAAGACTTTTCAATTCTAACAAATATTGCCAACGCTCTTCCTTCGCCTGTTGCACTCTGCTCTGTATCTCTTCGCTATATTCTGGTAATGGGCAAATCGCTGAGTGATGGTCCACGCGATTTGCAGTGGT